CGTAATTGTTGGCAAGTCAGTGCACTTACTGGCCTGTCCCTCGTCCACCGACTGACTAATCACACGAGCCCCCCAGCGGTCAATCTCACGAACAGTCAGCAGCAAACAAGCAGGTCAAAGTTCGTGCGCCGAGTATGCAGCCAGGGTGAAACGGTGCCGGCAAATAGGAACAACCACCACGTTACTCTGACAATGGCAACAAGCGAGTGTCCGAAACGTCAGTCCCAATATAACTCTTTCCATGTCCTTGAACCTCCTTCGTCTTCTTTGGGGGATGGTGAAAACGGAATAGGAGTGCCCAACCGAGTGACATAGGGGGCCCTGCGAATAATTCCAGAAAGACCAAATATTGCCTTGTCCCAACCCAAACTTAAACCCAAACTCTGGCTCTAATCACTACCCTAATCCTCTTCTGAACCCTAAAATTACACTTCTCTCTAATCCTAATCTTGTATCAAAGTCACGTATATTGCGAGCGGTTCTTGTTCCAATTTCGTGTTTAGGAGGCGTATATGTCATCCTTACTCTATACTATTACTGATCTTCCCGTTGCTCTTTTCGGGGAAAGTTACATGCAGGTTTTTAGTAATAATGGGTTCTAAGTGTACTCCCCAACTAGTGCTGTAACATATTTATATTGAGGTCGTACAGGTGCCAGCTCAAATCCCCGACACGCGTTTCGCCGATGTCTGCCGCTGTATGACTCAGGTGCGAGTGGTTTGGCTGATCACTGCATCTCACAGCATCTTTTTGGCCTTTCTTGTAGATACTGATTTATCAAAATGGCCGCTTTTGTGTGTGTGTGAGAGAGAGAGATACGCTTTATTTTGAAAATATCATTCCACCATTTTCAGCAGTAACGTCCTCCGTTCGCCATGAATAAAATATGGCACAGAAACCGCAGTGGTCAACCTCGGCAAGAAATGACTTTGAACATGTCACAAAATGTAGGCCATGTTGAACTTCCTTCAAATTAGCGCTGGTACCGTGCGCTGATGACCTCATTGTTGTAGTTGCAATAATAAACGAGGGGGTAAATTCCATTTTCTAATGGGCGTACTGGATCAACCAATGTATGAATAATAACATTTACATGCGAATGGAGGGAAGAAAAAATGACGCCTTAATTTCAAAAGTCCGCTTGAAAGAAGGCGATCCTCTACTGTCTATTTAGTATGCATTTCTAATTGGGTATGAAAAAGTGCGTAAACAGGATTTCGCTTGAAATATTCGGCAAATAGTGGCTAAAATAATGTGATGAGGAAAACTTGGAATCTGGCATTTAAACTGAGATGTAAAAGTTACTGATGCAGCCTCGGTGGGATAGCCGCGGAGTATTCATTAAACTGCGGCATAATATCGACGAAGAAACATGTCTGGCTTTGAGCTGGTGTCCTTGCTTCTGGTCTGAAATTTCAATGGCTGCCTGTTGGCAGTCCAATTAATATAACGAGGTTATTCCACAGAGCCTGATGAAGTTCAACCTAAATAATCATGCCAAGCTTCCGTTTGTACCTGTAAAAACTTACTTCAGACTGATGTACCCCAGCTCAGAAGTTAGTTTCTTAGGCGTCCGAATGTCCCATCCAATGACTTTTACAACGTCCAGAAACTAGAGAAGGGAGAGAATAAGCTGCTTCTTATATTAGTGGTACGCCTGGTGTCAACAATGAGGTGCCTTGTAATTCAGACGACCAGGCACAGACGCGTGCACTTTGAAGGGCAAGTGTAAACTATTTAAGTTGTTCCATGACAACATCGAACAAGATGATACAGTGGCAGTACCAACGCAGAGACCTGACAGTTCTCGTAATACACGCCGCAAAAACTCCAATGCTTCCGCCAAATGCTCTGACTTTTTAACCTTTAATGTGACCCAGGGAACAGAATAATGGATTGATTTTGTGTGATGGGAGGACACGTGTTAACTCAAAATCTGAGTAAGGCTGGAGGACTCCGTCGACTAGCTAAATTTCCGGCAAATGCGTCATTCAGTGAGACAAAATTGGCGAAGCATTGTCTGGGATTTAAACTCGTAGCCATTTGGTCAATATGCTAACTTTTGTCTTATTTAACCAGAACTCTATTTTCAGGGCATTTTAGGAGTCTTCGAAACGCAAATATTTCCTAGCTGTCCTACGTCCATTGTTTGGTCCTACGAACATGAAAAAGGCTCCGTGTTGACTACAGATTTTGTAGAAAATTGCATTAAGGTCATCTGTTAATTCCCCTTCTAACTGTTGCAGATAATTCAGCATCAGAAAGGCAAATTATGAATGTCTTTCTTGCTGTTTTTTCCTTTATTTAGCCAAAATTAGAACTTTCCAATTGTCCTCAGTGACACCACAAATCCCAGCTACTTTAACCCTCTTAGTGATGGTCCAGGTTCTGTTAAAGCATAGCCTTTTAATAATACCGACCATAAAGGAATCCGAGCAGTGTTTAATCCCGTGGGTACGTGTTTTTTCCCCAGTGGACCCGATCGAGAGGTTCTCTCTCGCATTGACATATCCCCCTATCCACAACCTGCGGATCCGCCGCTGTTGAGTCACGCCTCCTTTTCAGCCGGCGTCCAAGCAGTCGTGAGTTTTCGTATAATGTCCCCTTTTTTGCACAATTTTCATAAGCCCTGACTGTTGTAACGGAATGGCCCAGGCCGAGATATTACCGCGCCAAATTGTTGCAACCGAGGCCCAGGCCAAAATATGCGCCGTCTAAGTACGCCTCATGTGAGCCCCTAAAGAGAGAACACGACTGGAAGTGTGCAGAAGCGGAAGTCTTTGAGTGTTCTATGTACAGAAAATTTAGGGAAACAAACTTATGTCAACGATGTCCCTTGAGCCAATAAGATTCTTCCCTGAGGTAGTGACCAGTCCCATTAGCTGTTTGGCTCAGTGAGTGAATGTAGCTAGAAATTCAAATTATCTATTGATTGTCTAGCTCGAAGTGGTAGCTCGCACATAGGCCGATCGATAGCTTATTGTGGACGCGGCTATGGTTTGCAAACTACTGCTTGCGAAGGCTGTTGTTAGGCCGCCCTAATAATGACCGACTATGAAAGACTTTCGGTTTGTTTTCCTGATAAGCCTTCTCCCAAGAAACGTTATCAAACTGATACGACTGGTTGTGTGAAGGCAGCAAATACAAACCGAGGCATGCTTTGTCCATTCCTGGGACCTTCTGAACGCTCGTAGTGCATACCGAGATAGCATCTTCGGTAGTCTATGCATTATGATGATTAAACCGCGGCAAAATTGGCTTACTTTTGATTGATATAGCGATGACTGTTCATTCTAAAGGCGCCTCGGCAATTCGAGGAAGGACCATTCGAAGTCTTTAGTCCGTTGCAGGAGTTTATTCGCAGTCCACTACCTAATTTACATACAAGTCATTTGTTAAACATGACAATATGTACCTTCGGCTTGCCAACAAAATACGGATAAACATCGTGCCAGGTTACTACCGACTTCACACAGTAGGTTTGGCTACTTCATATCAAATCACGAGGTAAACATGAATCTGGCCTGACTGTCTTTATTCGAACTATTCATATTTCTAATAAAGATTTACTCGATCTCACTGGAAAGCAAATGGCCGCCTTCTGTCTCGCCATTGGCCGCGCGCGCAGAGTGCCTCCTAAGAATTTGCTTGGTCTTCAATAAAAAAACTAAAAAACTAAATTATTTTGATACTATCATTCCGACATTTGTTACACAGGCGTCCTTTATTCACCATGAATAAAATAAGGCACAGAAACCGCACTTGTCGACATCGGGAAGAAATATCCTTGGAAAAAATCTAAGCACACAATCCACATAACACTAGGAGCTCACTAACAATAAATAGTGAATGAATACTGCAATTGCCATTCTCTCGACGAACCGTCTTTAAGGGAGTCGCAGTATGTAGCTAGCGTAATACGCTAATGACCTCAGTGTCGTTGTTTGATTAAACAAAGAAGATACATATGTATTTATACTGGGTTGAATAGTCAAAACAATGTATAAAAAGTGCGCAAAGGAAGTTTAAGTAGTGCACCCCTAGTCCCAGCATTTTGACCACGGAAAGAATTGATTATAGGGGATTTTGGGGATGGGGAAATGGGATAGGCAAAGGATAGGGAAATTTGTAGAAGTAAGTATAAAGTAGAAAAATGTAGTTGAATTTGGCTTCCGCTGCCGCTGGAGTAAGGTGTTCCGCAGGTATATTCAAGGTGTGCGCGGCGCTTAGTGCCGCGGATTTTACCAAGCTAACTCCAGAGCGGTAAGGTGGACCTCAGTTAAGTTGAAGTAGACGACCTCCTACCCACCATTTCTATTTTTCTCAGGAATTTCAAGAAATCTGCAATTTGATTATCTTTTTTTTCCGCGATGTGGTAAACGATAATACAGATTGGGAAAATCTTCAGGTATAAATCAACAACATATCTAAATACAGTACAATAAAAATGCATATAGCAGTGATTAATGTACATTCCACTGCAAAACATGTCAACCGCTTTGAGTAATATCGAAATTTTCATGTCATCATCATTCATGTTGGTTCATCAAACGCATCGCAGGTGTTCTATTCTGCCTGTGAGTTCTAAGCTCAAACACCCTCACTCCACTCAGTGCATTTCAATAAGTGAAAGATAGGTGATAATCGCTTATATGACCCCCATTCCACGCAGCACGGCACGATAATAGTAATGTCCCGTGCCAATTTTCATGAAGGCTACATATTTCCGAGTCCTAGCCCTAACTGCAACCAAAGTCTGATCCATTAACCTAGTCTTAACCCTAACACTAGAACCTGATTTCCCAGTAACATAGCGCAAAGTTACCCTTTTTAACAAACGGTTTCTCTTCCTGTGTCCTCCCCAGGTGGGAGTGGCGACATATAAGCAGAATCATTTAGTTTTTGCAATGTATTTTTAAAATGGCTATGGGCTGTTCCCTGCAAATCCTCGCTAATTCTTCAGAGGAAACCAAAATAAGTAGTAATAAATAAGACTGTAATAAATCTGGTGTTTGAATGAACACGCCAATATATGAGCCGGCTTTAGAGAAAAGTTTGAAAAAGACTATGTACCTTCATCATCGCCCCCCCCTTCCTGTTCTCCCTTTTTATCAGGGTGTTTTCGTCTTTGTCTGTCCTTCCTCAGGCATTTGTGCACAACAATCAGCTCTACTACATCAGAAACCCACGCACCCTGCCACACGAAGTGATCAACGTGACGGCTCCCCTTTATACCGAGGGCATTCTCTATGGCTTTGCTGGTTTCCTCTACGAAGGTATGTTGCTGTGACCGCGACCAAACATGTACAGTAGACCTCTTATCTCATGAAATTGAAAAAAAGCATTTAATTAGGCTGGTAAAGCTGATTATCTTAAGGTCTCATCTCGAGATATCCTATTCACATCAGGTTGCCGACTTTTGAAAGCGCTTCCTCCTGAGCGTCTGCGAAAAGTGTATGTTTTGTAAAAAAATGACTACTTATAAAGTATGCATTTTTCTCCTAGATGTACACTGGTCCTCCAAATTAGAAATATGTTGTCAAGAAAAAATGCACAATATAGTCTTTCGTGTACTTGTTTGGTAGCAAATTAAGCTCTTTCCAAAGCTTATACTTTAACAAAATGTATTTTTCAATTTAAAAATAGTTCTAACTATGAGATGTCTTTACGAACGTGAAATGGGCATCACGAAAGCAATGTATCTGTCCATTTATTAGTGCTGCTTGCAACTTATATAACTTCGTCTTAATCCATTTCATACTGTAATAAGAACTATGTGACTTCTTCAGTACACCATAGGCAAGTATTGACTTTTCCTATGACAATATATACCTCATGTACTTTGGAGATCTTGACTTCATATAAAGCTGCGACGGGTGGGATTCACAATTATTTGGCAATGTAGAAACATTTTTTTAACGGAAACATAGCCTTTCTTCAAGTATAAGATTTGCAGTAGGTGTAATTTGTTACTAAATGAGTGGAAGAAAGAATATTTTTCTCCATGTATGCCACAAAATGTATTTGAATATTTAAGATCAGTAAAAATCAATGAAAAAATGCATCGTTTTTAAGTAGTCATATTTTTGCAGGATATACTTTTTAGGCTCGTTCAAAAGCCAGTAACCTGACGTGACACAACTATCTTGCAGCTACCTTGTATAGCAAATAATATTGCTACCCTACATAAGTAATTTTTCCGAAACGAAAATACTCTTTTTATAATTTGGTTCGACATTTCATTAAATAGGGAGTTTATTAAAAGTAGATCTTAAGTTGCTTACTATCCGAGCCATAGATGTTTCTTTAACTAATACATTTCAAAGAAAGTAGTAAATTGACTCAGCGGCGTGCCTTTATGCCGTTGTTCCGGTTCGCGGAAATGAACAATAGCCTTTTCAAGTTTCACTTGTATTCGACTAACCTTGACTTATGTAATTGGCGAACGCATAAGCAGGAAGGGCCCCACCTACTTCATAGCTAATGGGACGTTTGCTGACCATTATTAAATCCAGAGCACTTTGAAATTCGTGGGTGGGAAGTATCTTCTACGACATTCTTTTGGAATGGCACAGCGTAGCATTTGAATAAGGCTTGATTGTGCAGGAGGGAACACTTTGGAATAGTAATTTTAACTATTCATATCCCTGGAGAAACAGCCTCGTAAGCGTCCGCAATAAAGCATATACTTTTCGAAAGAATTTCATTGATGCTAAACCTGCGTACATAATTTAGACTCTTAAGTCTGGCTTAGGTGTTTTAAATGACGTCGTACTGTCTGTAAAGGCAGCAGGGTCTCTCGTTAGTCAGTAGAGTATGCTGATGCCTATTGATGTTCGTTTTCCTTCTACGCGCAGAGGAGATCCTGGGCACTAGCAAGACCTATTGGTGGAGTCCGGACAGTTCAAAACTCGCTTTTACAGCCATTGATGAGCGTAACGTGTCAAAGACGAAGCTGTTCTTCTATGAAGTCGAAGGAAAGCTGGATGGTGAGGTGAAGGATCACAGTTACCCAAAGGTTGGCCAACTCCCTGCTTTCTTTTTTACTTTTTATGGACACGGCTTTCATAAGCATTACCATCAACTTTGACGTTTTTCCCTTGAGTTTGACGTATCACTGCAAGTTGCTGTCCTCTTATGTTTTAATAGCGCAGCCTCAAAACATTCGTTCTGTGAAAATAAAAACATTCCACAAACCTCCCAAAAAGCAAAAGCAAGACCAATCCGTGGACTTAACCAGTTATGGCAGAGGTGCGTTTATTGATTAAGGCAAAAGGGGAGCTGTACGTCCGGTAACGTGATCGGCAAACGCTCCCCACCTACCGGCATTACATAAACGATCGCAACCGACAGGAGAACAAGGCCATGGCCAACTGAACTTGGTTCGAGCTTCGGGGGTTGCAACAGTTTGGGCTGAATATTACTGGCTGACCATGGCTAATGTAATTTCGGCAAAGGTATTTTAAGTAGTGGACCTTATATATCCCATGTCGCAGCATTTTCTCCTACTGAACCAGTGGTAATAGGGGTTCTGTGAGGGAGGAGTTAGGATAGACAGTGAAGGAAATGTGCAGAAACAGGTGTAAAGTGCTAAAATGTATTTGAATTTGTTTACCGCGGCCACTATATAGCAACGGATAAGGGCGCGTAAATCGAAAAAAGATAAGCAAAAAACAGAATTTAATAATTAAGAGGTATTTTAAGAAATAGCTAGACGTTAATTTGCGACAGGCCAGGAACCAGTAGCATTAATAGCTAAAATGCGTATATTGTTTACTATAGTAAACTCGAGCATTCCAGTATTCGAGCACAATTATGCGCCGTATCGTCGATGCCCCACTGATAACTACAAAGTAATGGGGTTTACCACAATACAATTACTTCTACAACTTTACTCCACTACCTATTCTATTTCCCCACCCAACAGAAACTGTTTTACCACCAGTCCTGTGAGAGAGAGAATGCTTCGGCTAGGGGTATATGGGGTCCACGACTTACCCTCTTGTCTCTCTGATCTTTTTCGGACATGTCATTTCATTGATTAAATAAGCAAAAGCAACATAAGTCCGTGTGTTGAGTAATTCGAGTAATTCTAGCCCAAATACCGGTCACACCGTCCCACGAGCAACGGCAGTAACGGCACTCCGTACCCTTGTTTATATTGTATTGAATATACTGCTCATGGCAAGTATAAAAGTTCTGCCAACTGAGGAATTTATCGGACACACCGTCAGCCCAGAGTGCGCGGTGTGCGAATTGGCTGATGCGTATGGGTAGTACCTCTCAGTCGATGAATGAATGTTTACCCCGTCTCTGAAGAGTGAAGACCTAGGCTGAGTGCAGAGCCGCTCCTTAACCCTTCTGGGATATAAAGATAGTGTGCGTATGCAACGCCACGCTTCAACAAACCATAGTCCTTGCAACCTGGTGTGCGCTGGCAGTTTTCTGAGATCTGATTTCCGGTCGGTTTGTGCGCTTGCGCTCCCACTGGGTTTATAGGCCGTGTACATGGTTACCCAGTTAACTGTATCTTCCCTGTAGAGGCGTGAATACGGACTGGCGGCGCCTAGCGAAGTTGCGGGTGGCGTGGTGGCGGCAGTAGCCGTCACGCCCTCGTCTGTCTAGTTGCAAAGGCCACCCGGCCAATCGCTCCGTGCTTATCTAGCAAAATTGACTGTTCTGAGCAAGGTGGGACCCTTAGGCGTGGCCTTCGTCACACCAGCTACCTGCGCCCTCCACTCTTTTCCTGTCTTCTTGACTTTTGTCTTCACATCGGGTACAGGTGTGGGAGTGGTGAGAGATTGGGGTAGATCCTGCGAGACTACTTTCACTATAAAACAGTTATAGTCACCGAGTCTGCCTTCAGCTTACTGAAGCTTGTGGTGGACATAGAACGTGGTGGACGGTAGAACTATCACACCACTCATATTTGTGGGCGACGGGACTTTCTACAGTAGACGCCACTTGTACTTGTACTTGTTTAATAGTAAAGTAAGCCTCCTTTAAATTTGATATACAGAGAAAGGGTAGCTTTCGGTTATAAAAAAGTTGCTCAATAGCTAAATAATTTTCTAACTTAGTGACTACTACACTCGAATTCAAGGTTTAAACACTGCGCACTGCATATACCCTGTTTAAGGAAAAGTACGTTTTATCCCACAGTTTGAGGAAGAAGTCACATAGCTTTCATAAAATATTGAAATAGATGTGGAACATATTTTATGCAGTATAGGCAGCATTTATAAATTGACGAATACGATGTATTATGAATAAACACCTCACCAGTATAAAAAAGCTCATAATTAGCAACTTTTTATAACCGAAAGCTACCTTTTGTTTGAGTATAAAATTTAAGAAGGCTTTATTTGCTTTCAAAC